TTTGTAAGAGCACTAAAGCTATGCGTTCTAAATAGTTTTTCTAATACCGTTATGCTTAAAGAAGTGACGACCAAATGTATAACCTGATGTTATAGAAGAGGATAATAAAGACAATTCTTGTGCAAAAAGAAGTGTAGCACGAGCATTTTAACTTTTTAGCATGCCCCACGCAACTGTTGGTGTGTACATGGTAATGAACTACTGCGTTAAGTATGTCATTTGTCAAAAAGGAATAAAACAGTGTTTAGAGAGGACGGAATAAAATCACTGTCATATAATAAGGTTAAAACTTTAATTCAACGCTTTAAGCTAACCATTTGAAAAGGTCAACCTCATTCAGATCAATAGACCTTAGTTTAGTATAGACTAACCAACGTGAAATAAAATATATAAGCTTTGTCGTGAATAAATAAACCAAAAGAGCTCTAATTCTAAGTCAACCACTGATGTTTACTCAAATTTCAGAGGTAACAAATATACATGTAACCAATAATTCAAATCATTGAGTTAAGAACTTGCACGGATAAGGAAGGAGAACCGCTTTGCAGTTTATAAATGTAACAATTCAGACAACAATTCAGCACAACAGATATAACAGAAAATAAAAAGAAAAAGAAAAAGAAAAGAATCTTACAAGAGGCAATTGAATTTTTAAAAACAGAACAAGTGGAAGGTTTATTGTACAGGTTGATGCACTTTTACATACATGTGCACCCACTGCTTGTATGTTGAATAATCGATCCAGCATACCGGCAGTGGGTGCACGTGCACTCATGTGTTATTAAAAGCCATTGCTTCGTCGCATAAAGTGATGAAGCGGTGTGAAGCGAGGTGTTATGCTTCATGGGTGAAGCCATACGCTTTAGAGAAGTGTATGCTTCCAACATTGACAAACCTAAACTGAACTAATGAGTAATATTACAATAAAGAAATCAAGAATGGGATGAATTGGATAAATATACAGACCCCAAATAATGACTACAATTGAAAAGGTCTTATCAATAAAATTTTCATTTATTCGTGATCTAGGCATCCAAAAAGTGATCTCGACAAGAAGTAGTTGGTTCCCTGAATCTCAACTTTGAGGAGTTCGATTAATATGGGAATTATTGCATTTTGAATGTTGAAATTGATTATTTTAATTGTAATTTAATTATTACAGTACTAAACTTATATGTTTGTGGTACTTTTAATTTTCTATAAATTGTGTGCACTTACTTCACCAGAAACGGATCCAGGATATATACTTTATGGATTCAATCTTTAAGCTTCTTAGCATTGAACCCGTTATTTTTTTTAGAGGTAATGGGTTCATGTCTACTGTTTGTTACAATTTTAATGAATTTTTAAGCATAAATTTATGCTCTGTGTCAAGAGTACTATTTCAGATGAACCCGTTAGCATAACGATACATCCGAACCTTGTGCTTCACACTTTTTGCTTCAAGCCCCATGGGCTTTGTTACTTTACACCTTTTGCTTTTAAAAACACTGTACACTACTATCTCAGACTCAAATTATATGGAGTAATATGTATAGGATAAATTTAAAGGAAAATTTCAGAATCCGCATATAAAGTACGATATACCCGCTGTCTCTGAAACCGGAATCTTCCTCTACTAGCACAGCACACAAATTTTACACATTTATTTATTTTACATCCATAAGCTTCAAAAATAATACAATTACAACTAGTCTAATCACATCCAACACGCAGTCAAATACCAAAACTAATAAACTAAATTAGAGAATCACAAGATCAAAATTCAGTTTGAGAACGATACCCATGAGAGAAGCTTCGAGAAGATGCTGAGCCAATAGAATCTGATCAGTGGGAGTAATATCACCTCCTTCATCCATCCACCGCGTGCGGATCGACGCAATACTGTAGATTGTGGACAGCATAACGACGAAGAGAGTACCAGCAACAGTTTTCACAATAATTGGGCCGCGGCCTCTCTTGACCCGGTCCAGGCCCATTATCACTAGCTTCCTTAATGGCGTCTTGAACACGAAGATCACGATTAATGCCATTTCGGCAAATATCAAAGTGAATAGTAACTGAATCATGATTCTAGTCGGTTTCCTTTTTTCTTTTAAACGGTCGAGATTTCAGATTGCGAGTGTTGATGGAGGCTTTAACGGCGCAGGAGAGCGTTGAGTGCTCAACGATGACGGAGGAGGAGAATATGATCTGGAGAGGTTTTTGTTGCAGGTTTTTGTAGCTGAAAATAAGTTGCAATTTAGTACAGGACTCTTAGTTACACTGAGGTCCCTTAGCTTTTCCGAATTGTAGATTTGGTGTAAATACTTTAGATAAATTGACAAAGTGGTCTCTTGTATATACTCCTGAGTAATTTTGGTCTTTTAAGTTTTCCAAAAGAAAGCACTTTTAGTCTCCGTTAATTATATAATAAATTTTAACTGTTAGATCTAACGGGAACTATTAAAAAGAAAAGGAAACATGAACTCACGCTAGGAGCTACAGTTTTTTTTTTTTTAATAGTTTTTGGTATTTCAAATCTATTTTTAAAGTTTGATGCAGCTTTTGTGGTATTATTTCTACTACTACGTATTTTTTATTTATTTTTAGTATCCGATAAAGTTTTTGATATACGATTATTGTTCGACATGACTTTCGAGATGTTTCTTGTTAAATTTGTTAAATGTAACAACCATGATTGTTAAATATTGGACGAAAATCAAAAGTATTCAACTTTAATAAATTTAGAGGATCAAAACTGTCAAAAAAAAATTTAAAAGACCATCTTAAACTTACCTCAAACATAAAGGGCAAGTTTTGTCTATGAGGGTGATATAAGCCTAACTAGCTTGTAATTGAGGCTCATAAATCCTTTGTAGCTGTGATTGGTTCACTTTTTTAGGACAAAAAAATCTTTTTATAATTCCTAAAATAAGTGATTTTTTTCTGTTTGGGTTTGGAATAAAATTGCACTAAATGGCAGCAACTTTCATTAGATTAAAGTAAAGAGAGAGGAAAGAAAAATGTTGAATAGATTTTTGTTTTCACATTGTTAAGCGAAGGAGTGGGAAAGGTTCAAATTGTGAATAGGTTCAACTTGATGGAACTGAAGTTAGAATTGTTTCCTTTTGACCATTGTGTTATTCTTCTAGATCAAATCTTGAAGAGATTGAAAAGAAAATGAATGAATTTCATTTTTTCTATGTACGTGGGTACTACTTTTTTAACATATGATTATATAATATAAAATAAGCGTCTGGTGAAGAGGAATCAACTGCCCTGGCTAACTTCTACCTAAACAACTTAATTGTTGAAGTAATATCTACGCACGCCCAAGTACAATTCATTGTCTGTAATCGAATTGAAAATGGTATGGCGATTTAATGTAGTATGGGGAGATTCACATAGGTAGGCAGTTAACAGGCAGTTAACAGCTTATCTTAACTTCTTGGTTGTATTAAATTGTACTTACTCCCGTCCATAATAGGTGATCATTTTACCTTTTTATTTTGGTCCGAAATAAGTGTTCATTTAAATAATCAAGAAAGAATTGTCCTTCCATGCTCAGTTGACAAAAATTGTCCCATTATCACACATTTAAATTATGCGGATGACACTATTCTCTTTTCTTCAAGGGGTCCCTTGTCCCTCGTTGCTATGATGAATAAGTTGTCAACTTATGAAAAGTGTTCAGGTCAACTAGTTAGCAAGAGCAAATCTTGCTTCTTAGTTGCACCTAGTACATCTCAGTGTCACGGGCCGACTCCCTTACGCTCGCCAGCGGCACCGAATTGTCCGTGCGGCACCTGCAGTTCCCCTCGATGCATGCCAGGCTTCATCCTTTCCCAGGTTTTCAAGCACGATCTTGTGCCTGTTGGTGGGACTCGCCCATGAGGCTCGCCCCAACTTGTGCCACCCGTAAGATGTCTAGGCACTTGGCCCTAGACATGTCGTGGCGCTTCTCATCTTAGGATCATAATCCATGCGCGCCCTGGGATTGGCTTAGGACATGTCTTGTCCTTCGCCCAAGACTGAGCATCGCTCTCGCGTGCACAACCCAATCCTCAAGCTTGACACTCGCCTAATGCATCCGCAACCGACTCGCGCCTCGCCCGAGTAAGGCAACCTTTAGTCCTTGGCCATTGTCATGTGCGTCTTTCGTGCCATGCCCATACATAGCCCTCGCGACACACTTCCATCCCGAATAGTGCAGTGTCGCCCCACAACTGCACGTTTAGGCCAACGGACCCTTGCTTGCATGGTTGAACCCAAGCGATGCTCACAAGTCGACACATGATGCCCCTAAGCTAGGTGCATCAAGTATCCAATCAGCACGGAGGTCTCTTCCAACATTTCGGCAACCCACGGGGCAGGCCGTCCCACACATCGAGCCTCCAGCTCCTACTTGATGCCCAACGCTAGCCCGAAGGCATTGCGTCGTCCATAGAGTTCCCTAACTCGTATGGATACCAAGGACACTCCTTTGAGTCATCCAGGCAGGCCCTTGAGGTTCACCCTCAAGGTAGCTCTTTCTATACGGCTCGGTGGCAGCACCTATGGGAGAGGCAGGTCGGAGCTTTCATCACCTATACCCCCCTTATATATGCTTAAAATCAAAAGGCCCAGGTTCCCCGAGTAGACAGATCTACTTCACACAATCAGAAGAGCCTTTTCTCACTAGTTCTTGGCTGAAGTCACAACCCCAAAGTGCGGGTTGTGACATCCTTCCACACTCATTATGTCATTGTCCCTGATGACACATCATGGCCTACGACATCCCGGAGTCTGCCCCCTCAGGTATGTACATTTCGGCTCCCTTTGTCCTGTGGGTTGGACTTCCTCGAAGTCCTGTCTCAAAAGGAGTCGTGCCCTATACATTTCTCCCCCAAGTATCTTCCAAGCGTGCCTCTGCACTTCACCTCCTTTCGGTGTTCACTTGGAAAGTGCCTCCGCATTTGCACCCTCTGGTGTCTAACTTTGTGATTGGCCCATAGTAGTCAATCACACCATGACCCTCACGGCCGTCATGTCCGTTTGAAGCTTTCCCTTCACAGGTAAGCACATCAACGTGCTCTTTGGCGCGGCTCTCGCAGCTCCGTCGCTCACTTAGCCTTACAATGCCCTCTGGCATAGCTCCCATAACCTTTCGCTCTCGTAGCTTTTCCTTGACCTCATTACCTTGAAGATGTGTTCGTTTCCGGACTCACAATTCGCCCTTATGACTCTTGCATAGGCGGATCCTCCCACACTCAATGTGGAGGATACTTCTTAGCGATGTCGTCCCACTTGGCATTTGGCCAGCTCTTGGGACGACTCTTGGTGAGTACTACTTTCTCAAAGTCATAGCATCGCCGCATTCCCGAACAAAGCTCTTTGTTTTCCAACGTCACTTCCTCAGCAAGTACCCAATGTTCCCGGTAGTACTTCAATACTCGCCCTATAGACAGGTACTCTCTTAGTCCTGCTAGCACGGCTTTCCGGTTCGATAGTTCCTCGCACTTGGACTCTCAACGGTCCCCGATCATTCGGCGTACCCCTTTCCATAATGATAACATCTTCCAACTTGGAAATTCGCCCAATTCCGAAGCTTCGATATACCCTCGAATTCGTCTCCTCACCTTAGCAATGCCCTCAGGCAGTCCAAAAGTCTATCCTATTGGAAAGACACTTAACTGATGCATTGCACGCATCCTTGGCAAGATCTCCGCTATGATCATGCCGAATGTTTATAGTCCACGGCTTCCACTCTTTTACAATATAGTTGCATGACCTGGCAAACATGGCCTTCTCTTAACCATCCAACTCATCGGCATATTACCACATTCAGTAGCACCCTAGACTTTCGAAAGAAAGTGGAATCACCCATTTCTTTCTTCGACCAGTAGTATCGCGTTCTCGAACTCTGATGGCATATGAACATCAATCTATGCTTTGACATGATCTCCGCACAGACATCCAACGTGCACTCGCCATCTCCACCCTTGCCTTGACACTGTGTCATGGCATAGTATGGCCTTAATCAGCTCTGATACTACGAGTCACGGGCCCGTTTCCTTACGCTCGCCAGCGGTACCGATTTGCCCATGCGGCGCCTGCAGTTCCCCTCGCTGCAGGCCAGCCTTCATCCTTTCCCAGGTTTTCTAGCATGATCATGTGCCTGTTGGTGGGACTCACCCATGAGGCTCACCCCAGCTTGTGCCGCCCGTAAGATGTCTAGGCATTTGGCCCTAGACATGTCGTGGCGCTTCTCATATTAGGATCATGATCCATGCGGGCCCTGGGGGTTGCCTTAGGACATGTCTTGTCCTTCGTCCAAGACTGAGCATCGCTCTCGCATGCACTGCGCAATCCTCAAGCTTGACACTCGCCTAGTGCATCCGCAACCGACTCGCGCCTCGCCCGAGTAAGGCAGCGTTTAGTCCTTGGCCATTGTCATGCGCATCTTTCGTGTCATGCCCATACATAGCCCTCGCAACACACTTTCATCCCGAATAGTGCAGTGTCGCCCCACAACTGCACGTTTAGGCCAACGGACCCTTGCTTGCATGGTTGAACCCAATCCATGCTCACAAGTCGATACATGATGCCCCTAAGCTAGGTGCATTAAGTATCCAATTAGCACAGAGGTCTCTTCCAACATTTTGGCAGCCCACGGGGTAGGCTGTCCCACATATCGAGCCTCCAACGCCTACTTGATGCCCAACGCTAGCCCGAAGGCCTTGTGTCGTCCATAGAGTTTCCTAACTCGTATGGATACCTAGGACACTCTTTTGATTCATCTAGGCAGGCCCTTGAGGTTCCCCCTCAAGGTAGCTCTTTCTATACGGCTCGGTGGCAGCACGTATGGTAGAGGCAGGTCGGAGCTTTCATCATCTATACCCCCTTATATATGCTTAAAATTAAAAAGCCCAAGTTGCCCGAGTAGACAGATCTACGGCAGACAATCAGAAGAGCCTTTTCTCACCAATTCTTGGCCGAAGTCACAACCCCAAAATACGAGTTGTCACATCAGTCTGTGATTGATGATATCCAACAAGTTACTGGTTTCAACCATTCTAAATTTCCTTTTTCATATCTAGGGTGTCCTATTTATGTTGGAAGAAAGAAAGTGGTATATTTTGGGGATCTTGTTGACAAATTCTCCAAAAGGCTACAGGGCTGGCAAGGAAAAATGTTATCCAAAAGACGGGTTTTAGAAGTAAAATTCTGCCCAAGGTCTCACC